TATCTATCTATCTATCTAGCCGCCTACGACTTTTAGCTCTCCTGACAGTTTTCATGATGGCATCTACATCGAAGTTGGTCTGGCATAACGTAACTGTGTGACGAGCGAAAGTGAGCTATGAAAATTATCACATGTATGTCATGAATGTCGTAATTTACACGTCATGGCCTTGCTGTTCTTGTGGTGGTTTCGTTCATGTGACATTTTGCAAAACTGGTATGGTATGACATGACTGCATGGCGAACATAAGTGACAGATCCCAACGTGAAAATCACGCCATTGATGTCATGCGAGTCATGAATATATTTTACACACATAGTGCACTGACGGTCGTCTCACTAGCTTCCCATATACCATATTTGGCGTTACGTGACGTCAATGGATGACGAATGTATATGACTGGTGCAAACATGATTAGCATGACTTGCGTGTCATGTAAAACATGACTACATGCTGCGTTCAAGATGCGCTCGCGGCAGTTTCGCTAACTTCACATATACCAAATTTGGTGTGACGTGAATAATTGATGAAGGTATGTGAAAGTTACAAACATGATAATCATGACATGGAAGTCATGTACGGCATAATATACATGCCTACCCCCAGCTGGGGCTGGTATTGCAAGCGTTAGGGGTGCCATTGTTACGCGGCTATAAATAGCACATTTGCATTTTATCTAGTGGGATAATGAGGGTGAACTGTGGAAGTGCCTTAGACAGGCAGGCCGACGCTTTCATAGGATGAACCATCTATGTCAACGGCGCCGTTTGATCCTTGGCGTGTTAGTTTCAAGGGGGTTAGTAGTGACTTCATTTCCTGGTGGAAGTGCGTGTCCCTATTGGCAATCGCCATCTGAAAAAAAACTATAAAGCAAAGGAGCGCAGTCCTTGCTTCATTTGAAGTTAGGTGGTAGTAGCTATAGTGGTTACCAACGTTCTCGGAGGGTGGAAAACAAAAAAAAGGCAGAAAAAAGGAAACACGCAAAGTAGAAGCGTGGTGCTGTAAAGCGGTTGCTGCCACAGACATGAAAAAATGTAACAGCTTGAAAGTTTGAAATGGTCGAGGCATCCGGCCACTACAAAGGATTGCTAACGATAGCGTCTTATGCCTATTCCCGAAGATCTATGAATGGGACGCATAACAAAAAAGCGGTTACAAAAAAGGGGGAGAGGGAGAAGCAGGTTGCATACTTTAAAATGCCAATACGTCGAAGGTAAACGATACCGGATGGGGCCGGAAGAGCACAAGTTTAACGAAGAAGGTCATTGGCCAAGATGTGCCTTGAGTATTCCGGTAGGGGGCCTGCTCAGCGGAATAGCCAAAAAATTTTGGCGGCATGTTGGCTGAAAAAAAGGGAAGGTAACGCAAAGATAGGTCGTCCTATCGAAACGTCGGCTAGCCTGTCTGAGACACTTCCACTGTTCAACTCGATTATTTTGGATTTGCATCTTATCTAGATACGTGACGAACATTACATTTCTACTTGAGTGTACTGCGTACTACATGAATGTATCTCGTAACGTTGTGCTCATTTTCAAGTGACATATCAACGCTCCTCATTCGTGCTTCGCATCGCATCAATTCCCACAGTACGTGGGAAATGCCTTACTTTTTTTGCCTGCACGCCCGCTTCCCGGACATGTCCGGACATGCCACAGGCTCGCACTGTGCGGGCACGCACACTGCCTTCCAAGGCATCATACATGAAATGACGTGAGGAAGGTCAAGTGACTTTCTTCGCGCTCTGTTTACTCCGCCTATGGTGACGGAGAACCAAAAACTGCTCCCGGCTGCCAAAAGCGCCAAAAACGTGCTCCTCCTCGACCACTGAAAAAGAACCCACCCGCTTTTGTTTGACCACTGCAAAAGCCACGACTCGGGAGAGCACTTGGAGTGCACTTAGAAGTGCTCCTGCTCACCCAATGAAGGGTGCTATAAGTTGTTTCATCAATTTTAGGTTTATAAGTTGAGTATATCGCTGCCGCGACGTTTTGGGAGGGATCGATTCACATTAGGGTCGGTCGAATGCGTCCGGCACTTCGGTATCGAGCGGTAAACAAACTGGTCAGCTGGAAAACAAACTGCCTCGGGGTTGAACGTAAGCACGCTGCTCTGGCATAGGCATAGGCTAGTCACGTGATGTTGTTTATACGTCACAGTGACAGCAGCGTCAGAATCACAAGTGGTCACTTTCGAGGCCAATAGGCGGCCATAGCGTCTACCGCAGCTTCGTCTGGCGATGATTTGTGCAACTATGCTGCTAGGCACTCATCTTTTTTTTTTTTTCATTTCGGTGCGATGGGATCTACATCAGAAGATACTTACGGCCACTCGGCACCAACCACCCTCAATACTTTGTGAACTTCTGGTTTTTCTCAGATAGTGGTGCCAAGATTACGCGGGAATTCCGCTGCGTCAAAAAAAACTGAACAATTATTGTTCAGATTATGTGTCGTACAGGTACTCTTGCTAATTCGCGAGCTCACGCGTGCACCAGCGATAACGCTGCAAGGTGCGATCACTGCTGCATAAATACAAGAGAGAGAGAGAGAGAGAGAGAGAGAGAAAGAGAGAAAGAGAAAAAAACTATTGAATTATGCGGTGGGTGACTATCTTACCCACGTTCGTTCGGCTAGAGATCAACTTACTGAAGGCCGACGCCATTCATTGCCGCTATCATACAGTGCGCTTGTTTTGTACTTTCAATTACTTGGTTTTCTGGGCGCAAGTTAGCTCACAAGTTCGTGACTTTCATTTTTACGTAAGTGAGTGCCGCTTTGTGCATAGTATTCTCACTCAATAAAATGCATAGCATGCTAGTGAGCATACAGATAACGAACTGTTTATGCCGGCAGAGAATAAGAATAAGAGAAGTAATAGCAGCTCTGTTAGCTGAATGTATTCGCACTTTCCAGCACCTGTAGGTGGTGCGGAGAGCGTTTCAATATGGCGGGTCGAGAGGTGATGGATGCTATCCGAAAGCATGTGCGTCTCGAGAATGACGCGGCTTTTGGGCCTCTGATATCTCTAAGTGTTGAACACGGAGATGTATTATCGAAGGAGAGGCAGCGTTTATCGCTGATCACCTTTCGCAAACTTTGTACTATATGCGAGAATTTAGGGTGTGAACAAAGCGCCACACGTGCGTTTATGGCGAGATGTATGGTTCCTCGCGCCGACATAGCTGCGAAACGGTCATTGAACGCAGTGTACCAGGAGTGATTAAGGAGATAGGAACCCTACATATGCTATTGCTCTCAGCTCGTAGCCCGTTTTTCGCCATGGCGCAGCACAACTACGAAGCTCCCGCACCAACCTGCCATTCCCGTCTTCCGGCTTCCGAAAAATCTTGCGTGGTGGCGCTAGCTGATCTGGAAAGTGTGAATACGCCGGCCTATATACACCATCTTCCCCGAAAATCTCACCAGTGGCGTTATGGCTGCTGTACACCGGCGATTCGCTATCGAAAAATGGTCTTTTATGGACGAAATTTAACTGAATTTGGTGTTACATGACGTCAATGGATGATGAAATATATGACTGGTGCAAACATTATAATCCTGACACGCGTGTCATATAAAACATGACAACATACCACGCTCATAGCGGCTGTTTCGCTAGCTTCACAACTTGGTATCCCGTGACGTCAATAGATGAGCAAGGTAAACAACACATCCAAGCATGATAATCATAACACGGAAGTCGTGTACGGCATAATTTACCTCTACCTCGTACGTTGTGGTGATTTGAAATGGCACATCAACCTTCCTCATTCGTGCTTCGCATATCATCGATTCCCACTGTACCTGGGATCTGCCTTTTTTTTTTTTTGTTACGGGGCATGATGTCCGAATTATAGAAAAAATATGGGCTGATACCTCTGGCACAACGGGCTAACACAGCTTCTCATATAATCACACGTTTCGCAAGTCGATGTCTCAGACAATCACGTTTGGTGTAACATTTCATACAAAAAGGTGTTTTCTGTGAACTACATATACAGTCTACCATGTAGTCACCGCTCTTAATTGTTTGCTTCCTACCTTTCTTTAATGTTAGAACAGCTTGAATAATAGGCTAAAGAGGACTGTATAACTTTATCTAATTCGCTATTACGCGTTTTCTACAAAATGATTTAAGTCCAAGATTGCAAGCTTTATACATGATTTCCATCATTCAGTTCTCTTTGTGTGCGTTGCTTGCTGTCCCGGAATTTCGTATCACAAATGGCATGCGTGTACATATCGCGAAAAAACAATTGGCCTCACCTGGTAGTGAAATGCTCGCAATCAAACTTCTGCGTTTATACAGCGGCAAGTTTGAAGGTCGAATGCCAAATACGAACTCTCGCCGCTTCATGTTAAGCTCGGAAGGCCTCCCTAAACCACCACAGCGTGACAGTAGTCAATTTCAGAGTAATTAATATTTTATTGCCATCGCCCACCTGCGGTGTCAAAGGCATCGTTGGAAGATGGATAAAGCGGTGGTCGATGGTGCTTATTGCAACTTATGAAAAAGAAGGACAACATGAAGAGTTCTCCTGAAAGTTAAACCTACGCTCGCTACTTGAACACTGCCAGCAGCAACTGTTTTCCCTCAGGCACTGCACGTGCGGTAGGTAGTCGGTCGTAACTTTCAGCAAGAATGCCACACCTGCGCAGTTAATTATGCCGATGCCGCTCCCATCCTCCGAGCGCGAGACGCCTGTCTTCCGTGACAAGAAATTTAGCGTGCGCTGTTCTTCACGCGTCTCGGTATCGTGCCTGCATGACTAAGGCTGCAAAGCCGTAGCCGCGATGCATGTTTACGACCGCGCGAATCTATGCGGGTGGTGAAGCGTCAAAAGGTAACTCCATCGTTCATGTGAGTCGCTTCTCGCATTTCACCCAGGCACGCATAACATTTCAGTATGCATAGGGGGAGCGTTTTATGGCTCTCGGCAGTTACCTGTAGCCTTGACTCGTTCGAGCTTATCGGACGAGTTCTCCGATGTTTATCCTATCACGCGTACAGTGAAGCAGTGCTGAGCAGGTACATTTCTACCAGCATGCGCCGAAAGGCAGCAAAATGAAAAAAAAAAGTAAAGGTGGGGCCCGTGAAACAGTGACGTAGTAAGGTTCGGGATATGTAAAGCAGTAAGTAATCTACTGCTAATGGAAAGGCGATGAAGGTTTCAAAGAATATCACTCCGCGGATATGTTTGTAGCTGTAAAAGAACCGTTCAAGTACGCACCCAACGTGATGTATCCGTCTATATAAACAGTTATTCGAAGATACATGCGCCTCTCTCACTGCAGACGTGGTCGGGAAGATTTTTACGGTGTACAAGAACAGTACTACCTTTCGCGCTAGAGAAGCGGTCGCCTCACGCTGTCACTTTCACCCATCAGAACACCACCTCCTCAGCTTCTAGTGAAAATTTGCAGGTTAAAGACAGCGAAAACAGGAATCTCGCCCTCTTGTCGGCGCAGCGATCACTATAGTGTGCACTTGCTGACGACTACGGCGGCTACCGTTGGTGCAGACCTCCTGGACTACATCGCCGTCTTTCGACGCTCTGCTCCGGAATGATGAGCCACTTGCCATGTGCGAAGTATTATTTTTTATTTGTAGTATCGTGGATGCTAGTGATGTGTTTGTTGTGTCAAGGCAGAGACTCGGAGCTGACCCTAACCGTGAAACAGGTCCAAGAGGCCTACGAGGCAGCCTCGTCCGGCAAGTTGAAGACTCAAGATTATGCGAGTAAGTTCCCAGAATGCGATATCCGCTGATACTAAAGTCTCAAGGCTCGGCCGCAAGGCAAGATCAAGCAAAGCTATAAAAATGATTTAAAAGCACCCAAATTGGGGCGAGTTATTACTTGAACATAGGGTCATTTGGCAATCAAATTTGGCTTTTTCTGAAAATAAGCTTTAGTTTGAAGTGAACCCTCACCTGCATAAATGGGTCTATTGTTTTTTTTTTGTCTTTTTACACACTTTAAGCGTCTGGTTAACCTCCCGGCCTTTCCTTGCATCTTTATCTCTCTCTCTACACACTTTAATTACCCCTATGGTCAAGGAAAATATTTCAATATATTTTTTTCGTGGCACGCGCATGGTTCACATGAGAGGCATGGGTCATGTAGAGCCACAGATAAAGAGTTCTAACTGCAGAAACTAGATAGATAGATAGATAGATAGATAGATAGATAGATAGATAGATAGATAGATAGATAGATAGATAGATAGATAGATAGATAGATAGATAGATAGATAGATAGATAGATAGATAGATAGATAGATAGATAGATAGATAGATAGATAGATAGATAGATAGATAGATAGATAGATAGATAGATAGATAGATAGATAGATAGATAGATAGATAGATAGATAGATAGATGATTCTACGGTGGGTCCTAAGCCATGGTCTTAAGCATCATCCGTAAATGCAGCAGAAGGCACTGCCAGAACAGCGTTCCCATAATTATCACCAACTAAGAAATTACAACGCGCTCCTGAAACCGAAGATCCCTCCCCCTTCTCTATATCGGCCTTTGCTTCCTTTGGAGGCCTCCTATTCTTCGCTATGCAATGAAGTCGGTAGGTGACACAGTCGGACTGGCAGTATCATGATTTGCTATGAGCACGATAATTCCGGTATTCCATGACTTCGTGACGAAAGAAACATTTCATTACAGCTCACAAATGAGGGACGCTTGATCGCTTTGACTGCAGGTTATCAAATACATTATTGTTTTGGAACAGATGAGACAGAAGAATGATTGAGCGGGGAAGTTGGGGACGAGGCGTAGACTGTCATCACATAGAAGGGTAAAAATTTTATGAAAATTCAATTGATACATTCAGTGAGAATTGAATATGATCCTAATTTCTAGCTCATTGTACTAGCTTCACTATAAAACGAAGCGAGGCCTTAAAACATTATCTCTGGGGGTTTCAGTAAGCCTCTTAGGGCCAAACAACGAAACGTTCCTTTCCTCAGTAAGGAAGCCTTCATTTTTGTGAGGCCGCCTTATGTCACTCTGAAAGCTTCCTCACTAAGGAGCCCTCGGTGAAGGCTTCCTTGGCGCTTCCTCAGCTTAAGGTTCCTTTGGGGCTACCTTCGTGCGCCCTTTGGTCCGCTCCTTGCCCTGAACGAGCGCTTCGCCTCACAGCTAGCCCACGTGATGTTTTCGTTTTCGAGGCAACCCTCTCACCCCACCCCTGTGTGGGGAGACGCGAGCGGCGAGCGTGCGTGCACTGCACCACGGATGAAGGAAAGGGAACCTTTTTCCTTCCTCCGTGGGGCGTTTCAGTGTTGCTAGAATGCACCACGTTTTGCGCTCAACTACGGTGGCTTTTCACATTCAGTAATCGTAGTTTGAAGAAAGCGTACACGCGTCTCTATATTAACACTTCAATTAGGAAGTGATGTGGTGACCCAACTTTTTTTTACAGAATAAACGCTTGTGAGCAAAGCTTATATTCGATAATCTCGAACGCAGGAGTGCGGCAACCATTCCTCCCGCGAGGACGGGTTAAGGGAGCTTTCAGAGTACGCTTGCTTCCTCCGTCGGTACTTGGTTGTAAGGAAGCCTCACGTAAGGAGAGGACGCGGTCAAAGGAAAGGAACGTTTCGTTGTTTGGGCCTTACATTCCCTGTGCAACGAAGATAATGTATATTGCAAAATAAAAAGCAGCTGTTGAACATTCTACATCAATAATGTTGCGAAACTGCATAAGCGCTGTTGTACGATGCCCTAAACTGAACAAAATATATTTTGAACAGAAAGTCGGCGGGTACAAATGCATCAAACACAAATAGGAAAGATTAATGTTTCGTAAATTATGTAAACAAGTTATCTACCGCCAAGACTACCACTATCGAAAACAGAACATGCGATATTCCGGACAAATAAGTAAAGTATTAGCATTTCTTTTTTCGTAATCAGAAACAAACACAGTTCCTAGTGTGTCGCAGCTTGAAAGCCACAGTCTTCCTTCTTACGCTCTTGCACAGCTGATGAGGTGTTGTCAATAAATAAATAAAGAATACAGCACCTGGCCTAGAAAGCACACACTCAATGCATAATAAAATGGGGAAATGCGTTAGTGCTTCAGCTATCGGCCATAAACTCAACTTCATTTCTAGCTCGAGAAGTTTTACCTGCCAATCGAAGGTTGCTAACGTAATTCTTTTACTAGCGAACGACGATCCAACATTGACAGAAAATTGAAGGCAAATTTTCATGCTCCCGTTTTGCAGCAAAATAGAAGAAAAGTTTATCGAAATTTGCCTCTCTAGCTACTTCGCTCAATTTAACATACTGTCCTGGTCACAGTCTGGGTTGCGCGTGGATATCTCATTAGAACATACTGTCAATAACTTCGTTGACTAAATTAGAACAAATTTCCAAAGGTGATTAGGAGCCACTTTGATGTTCATGAAATGAAAAAAAAGGCTTTGGAAATATTAACAATAATGTTTTGGTTTTATAAGTTAGAAAGTTCTTACTGGTCCATTTTTTTGCACTTCTTAAAGATTATATTTTTTAAACAGATATCGAAAGGCTCATGAGCAAAAATGTACCCAAGGATGAATTCTTGGTCGGCTCTTATTTTTTCTATATTTATTAACAATCTGCCGAGTATCTTTGTAACTTGAAGTGTTTTCTAAACACAAATAATACTACTATCGTGGCTTCAACTCGTAACCCAACTGAGATTTTAGATAAATTAAACTACGCTGTAGCTTGAAGAGTGGTGCCTTAAAAACTATATGAGTGTGAACCCCGTAAAGAATCATTTCGTAACTCTTTCCCATCTCGTTATAAAGTAATGACGTCTGATTTACACACAACCAATGTAAAAAATAAATAAGTTGTGTGTTGTTCACTGGATTCATTGTAGATTGCCATATACAGTCTGACTTTCATGTCGGTTCATTGGTGAACAATATTGGCTTCGACATAAGGGCTACAATTAAAAGCTTCAGTATAAATAGACTTCCCTCACTTTGTACCAATCTCATCCATACACATAGAATATATTCTATTACCACCTGGGTAACTATTCGCTATCTTGTTTAGTTAGCTTTTCGACGCGCGTGCTGTAAATTATACCTTTTACAACCCCTCGTTCATGATTCAATTCTCTGTTTCTCAAACGAAGTTCGCGACCTGTTGATTGCACTTACAGCACCAGTCTGACGGGCTTGCTGCATAAAGTCATTGTAACGAGCTGTATATGGCGAGAAGAGCACTAAACGCAACGCTCGTGTTGGTGGGGAAATAATCGCGATGACTTAAACGTCATCAGGCCGTTTATGCATGAACAAAACTAATGTATTTACAACAGACGGTACAAAGCTATTAGTGTAAAGGAGAATATAATAGGTGCTTGGAACATTTGACAAAGAGTGTAAACGAGCTGAACAAAACAAAGAGCGAGTTGTCCGATGAGTGGCGGTCGAGTCCCTGTAAAAGCTGAACGGCTTAACGCTGGGAGATGACACTCGACTCTTGGGTAACCCGCTGGTTGCGCTGCCAGCCGCGGTCAGGAACGCGGTTCACTGCCGAGGTCGCAGTGAAATGCCAGGCATCTCGGGCCTGGTGTTTCAACCACGCCCGGCCTGAGGCTGGCTGGTTTGACCACAGGTGCGCAGGCTTGGCCCAAGGTGGGAGTCTGCTGCTACCTTGAATCCAGAATAGACCAACAAATCTCTGCTCTCGCGCCCTGGTTCTGCGATGATGATGACGATTATGATGATGATTATGATGATGATGATGTAGATTATGATGCCTCCACTATGGCTCTTGCCCACTCAGGGCGATTGGCCGAGAATTGAGGATATGGAATTTAAGGCCTTTCAAATGATACCTATATACAGAAAGAGTGCAATATTTTTTTTTGTCATTTCGACCAGACAGAATAATATGTATCTTGATTTTAAATTGCAGTAATTTCGAACTTGTTTGAAATTGATGTTTATAACTTGCTTAATAAATATACTAACAAATATAAAATTTAAATTTACAGGCGCATTCTTTTTGTTTCATGAAGATAACTGCAACCGGTATCAAAGGCGTTCTAGTGGCTGTAGCCCAGAACCGAAGCACCAAAAGAGAGTATATTCTCAATTGTGAAGGGCAGACAAGGTTAGCGAATGGGATGACAAGGAGACATTTTCTTAATAGAGTGTAACGGCGACATCACAAAAAAATTATGGTCTATTGATTACAGATCTGTACAAAAGCTGCTTAGGGAAGATATTCCCAGACCAGCCCTGTGTGAATATATATTTCAAGGGGGCGCACCACATCGCAATTTTGTTAGCATGACTTCCAGTTGTCTAGTATGACACCAGTTGGATTCCCATAGATATTTCAAATGTGTAATTTCATTGCGTTGTGTTACTGATTTTATGGCATCAGCCCTGAGTGAAAATTTTTGATATCTTATCGCCGTTATAGTGGACAACACCGGAAGCACAGAAAGTATTGGGTCATTTATTGCCATTCAAGCTAATCAGTCCGCCATTTCATTTAACACTAACCCGCAATGTTCTGGTACCCATAATAATTTTAAGAGCTTCAGCTGTGGATGAATTAGTGTAAGGAATGTCCTTGATGGATCTGATTGAGATGAAGCTGTCAGTGACGTACATACGGACAGGGAGTCTGTAATTATTATAGCAGCGTGGGTGTCCAAAATTAGTTTTGATAGTGCTAAAGGAATCGCCAAAAGTGCAGCTTCAAA